AAAAAAATTATTTTGTCTGTCAATATGCTCTATACAGAACTCCTCAAGTGGAAAACTTTTAGTTTCACCTGGTTTAATTTAATCAAAAATCTTGTTTAAGGAATCTTTTGCTATCCGTTTATCAGTGGATTTATCGAATAAGTAACCAACTGATTAATCGTTTTGCAATATAATTGTTAGTTGCAGCCCTGGTCGTTACAACATTCTATATCTTGCAAAAATTACTTTTCACTGTAGCAAAAGCTAGAGCACACACACTTTCAACCAAGAGGTAATATTATGAGATGAATAAACCTGAGTACCCAGAAAGAATCCAAATATGTGCAAGGAGCACATGCACATGTGATATTCTTTCTTTTTTTATTTAAATCAAAATACTCTCTTTTGTTGGTTTATAAAGGTTTGTAATCTTTTTTTGTCAAGTTGGCATTGTTTTATAGACATAATCAGCAATAGATGAAAATGTTTGTGCCTTAATCCATGCATCCTTAATGTGTTTTTAATTGAAAACTAAACAGAATGAACTCTTCCAACACCTTACTATAAGATAAAGCTTAAGCCAAGTGTCTGCAAAGTATTCCTTTCATTAAGGCTAATTCTTTTTGCCTGAGCAGATTTCATATTGAAATAAGTGTTTGAGACAAATTGAATTGGGCAGCATATTCAGTCCTTAGTGAACTGTGTAGAAACACAAATACACAGAGAGAGTCTCACTAACTTGCCAAAGCACCACACTGTCAGGTTGAATTTGATCCTTACCTTAGCTACATGAGGTGAACTAGTAACCAAGGGCATCTCTCTTTGTTCATTTCTCCTGTCTCGACTCTACTGTGTCTTCTTTCCATTCGTGACTTGGAAACACCCACTCAAACACCAGCGCTCATTAGTCCAGCAGCATGACCATTTTTTTTTCCTCTCTCGCTTTTCTACAACTGATTTGTAAAGCTTCAATGAAACGGCAGAAGAAAGAAGTAAACACCCAGACGGAGTGAACTCGTCACCTGAAGCTGCACACTGTGCTCCTTTGTGATGGTGCCATGCCAAACAGCCCTGAGCAGTTCTTCCACAAAGACAGATCTATTTCTAGGGTGCATTATCAAAAGATGTTAGTCATTACTGGAACACATTCAATCTGAGCTTTGTAGCTTAAATCAAACGCCAAACTGTGAATTGTTAGATAGATCAGTGAAGCTGATAGATTACATACTAATGATTGGAGTTATTTTTAGGATGCATCCAGTGCATTTCAGGCACATTAAGCATTTGAAAAAGTGGCTGCATTTATGGTCTGCAAACTTTAGTCTTTCAGGTTAGTCCCAAAGGTCTCATTAAACAAATTTCCAAAAGCAGTACACATGTTTTCAGCAAAAAGCGCTTGAATTTCTCCACATGAATTAGCAATTAAAGTAAGAAATGTTCTGCACATTCAAAAAGCTCTAATGTGGTGTCATGTTAAACTCCATTAGTTCTATAAGAAATTACTGTTTATTTTTTTCTTTCTGTAAAATTTCTCCATGCTGCCAGAAAGCTTACATCTGAAGACATGATTTCCTATTGCTTCCTTCCAACCTGAACGTGAGTTATTGTACTATTGATAACAAGTGTTTCTTTGTAAGGACAGAATACAAACTGACTTAAATCCTGCAATATGTCCTCTAAAGGCAAATAGCATGAAAAAAAGGTCCGACAAGATGAGCAGATCATTACTTACATTAACCATTTTTTCACTCTAAATGTAAAAGATTCTCCTTAAAATACTAAAGTCTTCTATAAGACTTAGACAACTTTTATTGTCTAGTGTATACGTGTATACAAAACAAATGCTCGTTTTGTACAGCTGTGATGACATTTGCATTTCTTAAAATGCAGCAGTGATTAAATGTAAACAGTGTGAGAGAAAAAAACATGGTGCGAAAAAAGCGCATTGATATAGAAGTTCAGAACATTAAATATATATGGTGCAATTATGCAGAGCTTTGGTTTAGTGTTGTAACTGTGATGCAGTGTCAGTGACTTAGGGTTTTTTAAACAGTTCAGCTGTCTGATGGCGGTGGGGAAGAAGCTGTTTCGGAATCTGCTGGACCTGCATCAAATGCTGCAAAGCCTCTTCCCAGAGGGCAGCAAGGAGAACAGTCCATAGTGGACTAGATAGTTAACTACCACATGCATTGACTTTTCAATTGTGAATGCAGAAATGCACTGCAGAGCTATAGAATGAATCTTTTAAACCTGGCTTATGATTTCTGATGGTAGACAGACCTAAAACTTTATTGGTTTTAAAGTATGAGTTATTCGGCCCACAGCCAATCCCATGCAATGCTTGCTGGCATTTTAACAAAAAATGTTGCAGTTCTCAAAGATATACATTAGTACCACAACATTAAATAAACTGTGAGTGCTGTTGCCTCCTTTAAATAATGTGTTGATTAGAATTTTTTTTTTCTTTTTTTTTTAATCATTGTAAATGCAGCTTTGACTACAATGATGCAACAAACTTCAGTGCATTTTATTGTGTTAGAGAACCAGAGGGAACTGAATATTTGTATAATGGAAAGAAAAAAACATTTGCATATCAAAATATTATATACATTTTATCAGCAAATTGTGTATACATTTCTATTCAGTCCCCTTATACAAACCTCCAGTAAATTAAACTTTTACTGAAGTGAAATCTTAAACTTGGGAATATATTTTTTTTAATGTTTCTGTCAGATTCTAAGAATGTAGTTTACAACTGTTAAGTGTAAACTAACAAATTAATAGTCTTTTCCTCTGGTTGTTTGTTTAGGTATATTGTCTTTCTAGGAGATGAACCTCGTCCCTTGTTTCAAATCATTTGCAGTTTCTTAAAGATTTTTTACAAAATCTGTTGACCTGTATGTAAGTGTGTTCATCTCCTCATCAACTCTGACCCACTTTCTTTTCTCTACAGAAGAAAAAACGTGGCTAGATCAAGATTTAGCATCCACTATTTTTCCAAAAGGAGATTCTGTGTTTAGGGTAAACTGTATTGAAAGAATTTAGCCAGGTAGAGAAGTACAGTACAAACAGGCTTGTTTGATCTTAAATAATCAGAGGACCCCTGTCAATATATTTGCTTCCTGCATGGTTTATGGATAAACTGCAAACAGGCGTTATTTTGCCATTTCTCTCTATGGCATTCTTCCATAAATGCCACAGTTAAACTGACTTACCCCGAATCAGGGGATATCAGTGTGGAAAGCAGCAGGTACCGAGCAATTGCAGGGCAGTGTTAAATCAGTGGGATGGAAACATATTAGAACCAATCAGATAACTACAGATTTGGTCGCCAAGTTGGCCTTGGCTTTGTAGCCGTTCCTTTTTATTTTGTTTTTAATAACAATAACTGACATGGGGAAAAATCAGATTGGAGATTAAAGTTGAAAACCAGTTCGACCCAGACTTTTATCTGCACCTTTTCTTGATTCAGGGAGATATTTCAACTTGGTGCATTAGCATAATAGCCTATTTTTTAAACACAATTGTTTGCCAATAGTTGTCCATTAAAATCATATAGAAAAAAAGGGAGATCCACTAATAACCAGCATACCTCAGTGTCCATCATGAAAGTTTTACTCATTTATTTCTATTACTTTTTGGGCGGCAGCACTTCCGTATTTCATCCGATCTTAATGGAGACATGTCGTTTCCCAGGTACTGCGCATTTGGTCTTTAGTGACAAAAACTGTCACATACTAACTAAAACTTTCTCAATCCTTAAATAAAATTTTTTTTAAGTCAAACCGGTTGTATACAACTCAGGTTGTCACAAAATGGCTGACTACGGTTTAGTTTGGGTCAGATATCTGTACAAACAAACAGGCCTATGTCTGAAAAGCGTTTAAAAAAATATATAGAGAGTCTTTTTAATAAACTGCAATTAATGTATTAATTCTGACAGCCCTGATTTTAAATATACTCTAGTAGTCATTCAAAATTTCTCCACTTTCCTTGAACGGTCATTGGCTGGTCCCCTACAATTCCTTTTTAAACATCTTTGTACTAAAATATTCTTTCTGTCATGATTTTTGCACTGCAAAAAATCTTAATCTAGATAAGTCATTTTTTTCTTACAAAAAGTGCATTTGTTCTTGAATTGAGGAGGTAAAAGAGACATTCTGCCAATGAAACAAGACAATTTACACTTAAAATAAGAAAACACTGTTGCATTGTCCTATTTCAAATACATATTATCTAATTATCTTATTTTAAGAGTAAAATTACTCATTCCATTGGCAAACTTTCTCCTTTACCAACTCAAATCAAGGGTGAATACACTTATTTAAGGAATTTTTCACTTATTTCTAGATCTTTTTTGCAGTGTGGACATTAAGATCTGTAATCTTGTATAAAATGGGGTTTAAAAACGAAAATGTTGGAATCTGTAAATCATATACAGTCGTATGTTTACAATTATCACTGATGCACTTAAAAAAAATGAATATGTCCTGAGAGCTGTACTGAACAAAATTTAGTTTTGTATACACTCTGTATGTACAAAATTACAATAAAGTCTAAGTAAAGAGAAGCGCCATCTCCCTGTAATTCAGTGAATGGATGGAGTCAGTGTATAAAAAATATGCAAGCCCAGGAGAAGGAGGAGTTCACTCCAGTGGCTGGAAGTTGGAGGGGATTCCGCTTCGAGTTGCAGGGAAGTGGGCTGCCATTCAGCTGAAGTTTTACTGGGAAGGGATATTTTCAATTGCTGCTACTGTATCCAACTCATTGATGACATAATAAAGAGCCTAATTAAACCAACCCTCCATTGGAGCTACCATCTTAACTTTTGTTCCCAGTCAGTTTTTATTAAAGAAGATGTAAGAATTTAGTTTATTCTTTTCAATATGTGACTCTGGTTTGTTTTGTGTATCTCTACCTTGCAGACTCTATGAAGACCTAACAAACTGCACGTACCAAGTGGCAAATAAAATGAGTTGCTACTGGCCCAACAGAATGGTGGACGAGTTCTTCATCCAGATCCACAGGCTGTATTTCCACGATTGCTCAATGACTGGACGGCGACTCAGGGACCCTCCAAACCGCATTCTGGGTCCTTTCATTGTTGTTCCCATCCTGGTGACACTCCTCATGACAGCCCTGGTGGTGTGGAGGAGTAAGCGCAGCGAGGGGATCGTCTAGTGGAAGGAGAAAAAAAATGGGGGCTGGGGCAAAAAGACTCAAGACACTAAGTGTCGTTGTTGGAGAAAGGTTTTCTTAAAACCTGGAACCATAAACTCCTGCTCCGAAACTTATGTCCCTCTTTAAAGTACATTACATGTTTATTTAAGCTTCATGGATTGGAGATTTTTTTTTGGGTTCACTGAACAATTTTTGTTGCACCTGAATCTGATCTGGACCAAAAAAATTACTGGTGGTAAGATATTGTACATGGAAACAAATTTTTTTGTCAGAAACTCCTCGACAAAGGATGTTGGATGCCATTACTCTACTTCTTGCAAGAGTTTAAGAGCTTTCAACAACCAAGAAAATACCACAAATGGACCAATTATGAAAACCTCTGACAGGAAATCTACAGATATTCTCATTGTTACCTGTCTACATACCATATTCCTAAACTATATCTAGATCTTTGTGGTTTTTGTGTCATGATTATGTCTTATTAAATGTATTTTAGCTACACTACAAGGGCACCGTGAATCATAGAGGCAGGCATTAAAGAGAACGGTGAAACAGATGCTCACTTCAGGTACAAGGAAGCACATTTTGGAAATGCAGGAAAGGAGGTCCAGTTTGTATTCTACAAATATTGCCATAAAAATAAGAAAAAAATCTAACAAATATTGACAAAAAAGATTAGGTGATGGCATTAGAAAAACATAACTCCAGATAAAAAGTTAGTAAGTTAGCCAATGCACAACACTGCTTAGCATTGCCATTGCCCAAAGCACAGTTTGTGAATCACGAACCTTCAGTTTCTATTGATGTTTGTCCACCTTGTGTAGTAGAGTGTGCCGTGTGAACTTGCCCCTTTATTGATATTTTTGGATGCTTTCTTTCCTTTATACATTCATTGACCTGTAACCTGCCTGTTGGCAAACCACACTCTGAGATACACCCACACTTTGTACCTTGTGCCAAATGCTTGTGGAAAAACGTGGGAGCCATGTTTGCTATGATACATGTGATATCCTCTTGGAATGACTTTCCCTGATTGATTTTGAATTCCCGATTGTGAAGAAAAGTTCAATAAAATGTCAGAATGATGTGTTGAATTCACACAGCATGGATGCTCTATTGTAATGCTATAACAGGAGGGGATTAGTGTGTGGGTTATTAATTATGAATTTTGAATTTACATTATGTGGTGACTCACCATGAATTCACCTTAGTGTTTATAGAGCAGATAGTTAATGAAGGCGCTGTAGATTCATTACATTTTATATCGACACTTCCAGTAAAGAAGAGCAGCCTTCATACTTCTGAAGTGTACTCACTCCTTTAAATATTTGCTGTTCAGTTCAAGCCAAGCGTTTCCTGTTCACAGAGATAATCAAGAGCTTTTAGTGTCTGGTTTAGGTGTGGATAACACTGTATGTTCAGCATGTTCAATTGTAGCTCTTTATGTTTAGACTTTAGAATTTTTATGATTATCTAATGAAACAAAGAAAATTATTTCATAAATTATTGGACACATCTAGAAAAGGATGAAGTCCAAGCCCACCATCCATCCATCCATCCATCCATCCATCCATCCATCCATCCATCCATCCATCCATCCATCCNCATCCATCCATCCATCCATCCATCCATCCATCCATCCATCCATCCATCCATCCATCCATCCATCCATCCATCCATCCATCCATCCATCCCTAGAGATTCTCTGTTTTCTTTCGGATTGCTAAGCTGGCATAAGCCTGATGGACGCTGAGTTGAATTCTAATTGAAATACACGTATCCATCTGCAAAGCCTCCTGTTTAAAGTGTTTCTAAAAGCGAAGGACATTCAGTACCATTCTTCAAGCTGATTTGATGAATCAAGTGGTACCTGCCTCCCATTTGAGCTTTTAGCCAATCACAGCAGCAGTAGCAGCTGTGCCATTTTAGAAGATAAATCAAACTCTTGCCAAATCTGTTCGGAGGACAGGCAAACATCTTCCCATCCACAAAGGCAAAAGTCATATCCTTTTGATCATTTTTAAAGACAAAACAGAGGGTATTCCAGCTTAAACTACCGTAACCATGTTTGTTTTGCTTCAGCCTTCTAGCTCTGGTTGAGATGTTGATGGCTAAATAATCACTGTAATTCATTGCTCCGAAACATCTCTGTATTGAGGCTAATGCATCTGTTTGCCTCTAGCAAGATGTATTTTTGGGAGTTTGTGAATTTACAAATCTTGCCACAATTCATCTTCCTTGCAAGAAATTGCATATTTCAAGGGTGTTTCTGTAGAAATGTTGCTGTTCCATGGTTATATCTACATGTCTAGTTTATAAATTAATACAAAAGGTTGGCATCCTCATACCAAAGATGTCAGCATGGTATTCTTACTAACCAAGCTATAACAATACTGCAAAGTTAAATGCTTGAAGCCTGAAAAAGCAGGTGGTTGTATTGTTACTTTTTTTTTGCTTTTGCTTTTTTTCCAGAGCAAGTGGATGTTATGCTTCTATTAAATTCAGGTAATATTTAATAAACCAATGATCTACGTTGAGCGTTTTTGTTTTATTTTTTTATTTGTACACAAATATTTATTTTATATCTCATAGGGTCCAGCTAAATTAAATTTTTCTATCTGGATCCATGTTTGACCTCTGACTGGTTGAAGGTATACTGACAGACAAACAGGTGAAGGCAATTCAAATGCCTGCCAAGTATTTCCTTTTGTTTTTATAAAGAGAGTAAGACAACTTCTAGAATAGTTTTGGTAATCAACTCATGTAAACTAGAACCAAAAAGATCTCTCTTTCTAATCTCAAGGTTTGTTAGGGAATTGTAAGTTATAGGCCTCACAATAGAACTCGACTATAAACAGATATCACATTGGTTTGGAAAAACAGGCATAAACTAATGTTATCTTAATGTTTGCGAAGCACTTGTTGCACACTGTCTCAACGCAGGACAAAGGAGCACAGACCACATTAGTTGTTGCTAAAAATATATTAGGTGGAACTCTTAAAAAAGTCCCTTAGGCACAAGGAAAACTAAACCAAACAAGGTGGAAGAACTTCCAGCTCTCCCCATGTGGCTCTGTTATTAGGGTAATCTAATCATCCATGAGACTATTATGGTGAAGTTCTATTGCTTTCTGAAAAGTTTAATAATAAAAAGAATCTACATTGTCAGAGGTGTTGAACAGGCTCCTACCTTCAGCCATCATGGAAAGAAGAACTGACACAGATGCAAAATTAACATTTATTTAATTAAAACCTATAGTAATGTTTTTTAAGATGCTAAGAAACCTTGATTTGTTCCAATAAACGAACGTGATGAGATCATTTTAGCTTTTTATAATACTGTGTCACATTCCATTAACTAAATGTTTGTGCTGTTTTGGGTGTTTTTTTGGCAAATGCAAAACATTTTTTTATGCTACTCCCTTTTTTCTATATGTTTAGCAAACACGGTTGATGAGAAAGAAACCTTGATTCACTACTAAATTATTCAAAGATAAAAAAACAAATTCCTTAGGAGTTTAAGGATAATAGAAGGTGAACCCAAATGAATGCAACACTTTCCAGATCTTCTTTTACACTTTCAAAACCCTTTGTCATATTCATTTTAATTTACAGTCCTACAATACTTTCTGTTTGTAGAGGAGGGTAGAGGATTCAAACATTCCACACATCTAAGAGTAGCCCACCTTTCACATACTGTATTTTTACTCAGGTAAAATAGCCATCCAAGAAATTATTTGATTATTTATTTTATAAAATGCCTACATAAGTTCTAGAGTAAATAATGACAGGCAACAATCCAAAGTTATGTGCAGTATGGTATTTAATAGAACAAAACGAATAAATTATATGATTGTGAAATAAATTCAGTCAGAAAAAAAAAGTTAAAATTTTATTTAGATTTAAACCTTATAAAAGCGCTTATTTGACTCTAACAGTGTGAAATGTTAGAGTCTAATATGATCACTGACAAAATTCTGTTCAGTTAATTTTGATTGATAGATTAACAATTCAGCCCGATCATACAGTCAGATTGGTTCAAAGTTTTCTATCTATGTTGTCAGCCGATTGCAACGACTCATTGACTTGCAGGATATTGCTCCTCCTGGATAAGCATGGGGCAGCAGCAGATATAAGGTTGAATTTTCTCTTTGATTCCACAGCAATCCCTCAAACCGACATGCATGGAGCGACAGCGGAAAGGAAAAAAGCTCCAACAGAACCAGTCTCAGTGTGAGCTGCCATCTGCCAAAATCTACTATAATAATTTCGCTTGACCTCCAATTGCCACAGCAGAATCCAAAAAAATCCACATAAAAAAATAAAAAAAATGTTTACAAGAATTTTTATTAAAACATAAACTTTAACAATCACAGTCTGATCACAGTGAAATTACTCACAGTGAATAGAGTAGTACTCTATTAAGAGTACATCTTAATAATAATAATTAAAGGCATAGTGGAAGATTTCCTTTTTCCGGGTCGATCATTTAAATAAGTGGTCCTCCTAATTGTCAATCATTCTGGTGATATGTCAGTGTAAGGCCATCCTGCTTGCTTGTCCCCAGGTAGCTATCTTTTCCTGTGCATGCACACCTTCAGGTGTATATGTGAGCTGAGGTACAGTTTCAGCCAGTTGTTGAAGCTCACCTTTCTCACTGCGTTTCTTTGAAAATGGCCGAGGGTTGCAAGAGAAAAAGTGTCTAGGAAGTGTATGAGAAAAAGAAAAAGCCCTCAGAAGACAGGAACAAGACCAGAGTGTTTTGGGGAGATTTTTGGGCAATAGCCCACACTGAAAGCACAGGTTGGGCTTCCCACTGGTGCCTCAGTTGCGAAGTTTCTACTCGACAGGAAAAGTTTGGCATGCTATTTGGAGAAATCCAGAGACATGGGCTCGTGCACAGGTTTAATAGGCGTTCCCTCTCAGGGTACAGCGTTGTGCATGCATTTTTTTTTTAAGTGGAGGGGGCGGGTCTTTTAAAAGAATCACAAAAATCTTCCACTATACCTTCAAGTCAAAGTAAAAAGTATGTTACAGTAACATTTGTCCTACAAGTAAATAATATTTAAGACATTATTCAAGTACACCTAACGGAATAAATGTCACTTGTTACTAACCACCTCTAATTGTTATGTCACATAAAATCCAAATATAATATGCTGCAGTGTGTTGTTGCAACATCACAAAATGTGAAAGTTTTCCAAAAGCTGTGAATACTTTGTAAGGATAGCTGAGGGTAGATAGAAAGGGGGTGAACACTGACATGAGGAACTGCCAATATTCTGATAGAAGCCAGAGAGTGCTCTGCAATCATTTAATTAACCAACCATTCATGGGTGAAAGTCAGAAATGTGTTGAAATATCACATTGTCAAAGATTGTGTTGCGCTCTTTTACTGACAGATTCATTTTCACATCTATGAATCATTGCTATGCAAGGTTTATATCTTTCATAATGACAGGAACCCATCGCAGGTTGAAGCCAGAGGGGATACAGGAGGCATTTCTCAGACAGAGAGTTCTTACGAAGAGACAAATGTAAAAGTTAGCATTGCAGTGTGTGTGTTTGTGTTTTTTTACTGTAAGTTGGAGGAAAAATGCATTAAACTGTAAAACTGTATGACTGGAAACTGTGTGGGAGCCAGTGCATACATTTGCATATGTATTGTCCCCTTGCATTTATAAAGTTATGTATATGCATGGTTCTCTGTATTAAATCTTAGTCAGTAAAACTGGAAATTATATTCATACTCACAAGCTCAGTTTCTGCCTCTGTCTTTAGTAAAGAAACAAACAGGATAATTAAAAAGCAATTTTAATGGAAATCGATGCATTAAATGCATTCAAACTCATCATGCTGGTGAAGGTTCTCAGTCATCCAGGTCATAGTCATTAAAAAAATAAAATAAAACCAATCCGCAGCAGTGCTACCCTACTTACAGTGAGGAAATAAGTATTTGAAATCCCTTCCATTTTGCAAGTTATCCCACTTAGAAATCATGGAGTGCATGTCCACAGTGAGAGACATAATCTAAAAAAAAATCAAGAAATCACAGTGTATGATTTTTTAACTGCTTATTTGTATGATAAATTTGAACATCTGTTTATCAGGTAGAATTTTGACCTTCAAAGACCTGTTAATCTGCCTTAAAAATGGGGGAGCGGTTGCGGGCGGGTCGGTGTCTGGTGTCCGCTGTCGCATTGTTTTTTTTTTTTGTTTGGG